ACTTTTTTCCCCTTTCAACAATGAAAAGCAACATGTATGAAGTGCTCACTCAGGCAAGGCACCACACCAGGTACCAGAAACAGAAAGGTGGGTGAGACTCCATGCCACATCCCAAGGAGCTCATGGTCTGTTGGGCAGAAAAGAGATAAAAAACAATAATACAATTTGATGAGAGCAATAATTATTAAGATGACCAAGATCTATGGGAAGAATCCAGGGGAACATGGTGGGCTCCTCTGGCATCATGCAGAAGTGATTTCAGAAGCTTACACTCAGAAAAAAAAAACATCTATAGACATCTTATCCTACAAAATAAAAGTTCATCAGAGTTTGACTGTGAAGAGAAACTCTCTCTCTTCACAGATGACATGATATTTTATGTGGAAAACCCAAAAGACCCCACCCCCAAATTACTAGAACTTATTCAGCAATTCAGTAATGTGGCAGGATACAAAATCAATGCACAGAAATCAGTTGCTTTTCTATACACTAACAATGTAACTGTAGAAAGAGAAATTAAGGAATCGATTCCATTTACAACAGCAACAAAAACCATAAGGTACCTAGGAATAAACCTAACCGAAGAGGTAAGGGATCTATACTCTAGAAACTACAGAACACTTACGAAAGAAATTGAGGAAGACAGAAAAAGATGGAAAAACATTCCATGCTCATGGATCCGAAGAATAATCATTGTTAAAATGTCTATCCTGCCCAGAGCAACCTACACTTGCAATGCCATCCCTATTAAAATACCATTGGCATTTTTCAAAGAGCTGGAACAAACAATCCTAAAATTTGTATGGAACCAGAAAAGACCACGAATCGCCAAGGGAATGGTGAAAAAGAAAAACAAACCTGGGGGCATCACATTGCCTGACTTCAAGCTATATTACAAAGCTGTGATCACCAAGACAGCATGGTATTGGCACAAAAACAGACACATAGACCAATGGAACAGAAGAGAGACTCCAGAAATGGACTCTCAACTCTATGGCCAACTAATCTTTGACAAATCAGGAAAAAATATCCAATGGAAAAAAGACAGTCTCTTCAATAAGTGGGGCTGAGAAAATTGGACAGCTACATATAGAAGAATGAAACTGGACCATTCCCTTACACCATACACAAAGATAAACTCAAAACGGATGAAAGACCTCTATGTGAGACAGGAATCCATCAAAATCCTAGAGGAGAACATAGGTAGTAACCTCTCCTAGAGGAGAACATAGGTGGCCACAGCAACTTCTTTCAAGACACATCTCCAAAGGCAAGGGAAACAAAAGCAAAAATGAACTTTTGGGACTTCATCAAGATAAAAAGCTTCTGCACAGCAAAGGAAACAGTCAACAAAACTAAGAGGCAACCCACAGAATGGGAGCAGATATCTGCAAATGACATTACAGATAAAGGGCTGATATCCAAGATCTATAAAGAACTTCTCAAACTCAACACTCAACAAATAACCCAGTGAAAAAATGGGCAGAAGACATGAACAGACACGTCTCCAAAGAAGACATACAAATGGCTAACAGACACATGAAAAAATGCTCAACATCACTAGCCATCAGGGAAATACAAATCAAAACCACAATGAGATACCACCTTACACCAGTTGGAATGGCAAAAATTAACAAAAAAGGAAACAACAAATGTTGGCGAGGATGTGGAGGAAGGGGAACCCTCTTACACTGTTGGTGGGAATGCAAGTTGGTACAGCCACTCTGAAAACAGTATGGGGATTCCTCAAGAGGTTAAAAATAGAGCTACCCTACAACTCAGCAATTGCACTACTAGCTATTTATCCCAAAGATACAGATGTAGTGAAAAGAAGGGGCACATGCACCCCAATATTCATAGCAGCAATGTCCACAATAGCCAAACTGTGGAAGGAGCCGAGATGCCCTTCAACAGATGAATGGATAAAGATGTGTTTCATATATACAATGGAATATTACTCAGCCATCAGAAAGGATGAATACCCACCATTTGCATCGACATGGACAGAACTGGAGGGGATTATGCTAAGTGATGTAAGTCAAGCAAAGAAAAACAATTATTACATGGTTTCACTCATATGTAGAATATAAGCAATAGCATGGAGGACCATAGGGCAAGGGAGGGAAAACTGAAGGGGGAGAAATCAGAGAGGGAGATGAACCATGAGAGACTATGGACCCCAGGAAACAAACTGAGGGTTACAGAAGGAAAGGGAGTGGGGGGTGAGGTAACAGGGTGGTGGGTATTAAGGAGGGTACGTGTTGTGATGAGCACTGGGTGTTATACGCAACTAATGAATCATTGAACACTACATCAAAAGTTAATGTTGTACTGTATGCTGACTAAATGAACATAATAAAAAAAAAATATGCATCAGAGGTGGGACCAACATTCAATCCTGGTACAAACAGGACCCAGATCCAGGACTACGGTTCTTATTCCTGCTTATTACACAGATGTACGCACACACAAGTCACGGAAAATATCTAGGGCTAGGGGATTATGTGTTTTCTGAGGATTCGTTCCCTTTACAAGTTAAGTGTTTTTGTTTTTCCTAGTTTCTGTTTTCTCTGATATCTGTCCACCAAGCTATCCAATAACAGGGAGCAACTTCTTAAATTTCTGTAAAAAAACAAACATCATCGAGCTCAAAGAAATCAAAGAACTTCAGGATGGTCTGGTCCAAGTCATCATCACCTCCAGTCCTCCCGGATAGTATTTTTGACATAGAAACAGGTCATGTTAAAATCAGAAGTGAGGACCCATTACTGCTCAACTGAGCCTTTGCCAGGATTATTTTTGCATCATTTCAGGGGTGTCCACAACTTGTCAAGAGGAGACCATACGTGCCTATTTCCTGTAGGCTACTGATTTATTTAGAAGGGATATCAATCAGAGCGAAAGGTAAGGTGGCAGCTGAGAGCGCGAGGAGAAGCATCTTTACACATTTTTCCCCTTGCCCCTTACTTCGTGTGTAAAACTGATGCCAGTCTGTGCAGGTAGGACTCTGCCAGAGTGAAGGAAGATGACCAATCCTTGCTATGCCATAGATTCTTTATACTTAGGCTTACATCTTCCTTCCTTCCTTCCAAAAAAAAAAAAAATTTACAGCAATTATTTATGAATTTCTGGCCGTTTCAGTTTCCTATTGCTGCTGTAACAAATGATCACAAGTTATAACAATGCAAACTTATTATTGCACAGTTTTGTTGTGAGAAACAGAACACGGGTCACCCTGGGCTAAATCAAGTTTAATATCAAACAGGGCTGCTGTGTTCCTTCCTGGAAATTCCCAGCAATAATCTGTGTCCTTGCTTTTTCTAGCTTCTGGAGGCTGCCCGCCTACCCTCCTTGGTTCGCGGCCCCTTCTTTCATCTACAGAGCACATCACTCCAATCTCTGCTTCCATTGTCACAGCTTTGCTGATTCTGACCCTTATGTTTTCCTTTGCTAAGGGTCCTTGTGATTGCATTAAGCTCACCCAGATGACCTAGGATCATCTTGACATCTCAAGATCCTTAACTTGGTCACATCAGCAAAGTCCTTTTGCCATGCCACACTCATAGGTTATGGGGATTGGAGCATGGGCACCTTTGACAAAAGTGGGGGGCAGGGGAGACGTTATTCACCTACCACACTGAGTAAGGAGCTGTTTACAAGGTTTTGGCTCTCTTGCTTCTTGAACCAAACTACTCCGGGAAGAGCACATCTTCATCTTTTAGTCAACCCTGGACAACATCTTAGACTCCAGTTTGTATGAGCTTTAGAAAGCCAGACTCTTAGCAACCACCAAAGGAGTGTTTCAGCTAAGACACCCATGTCTTTAGAGGAAGGAGACAGATATGATTGATAAGGTGCTGAAAGTTAGCCTGTCTTTGCACCATTAGATTCTACGTAAGTTTCTTGTAACTCCAGCAGAGCAGAGCATATTTCCTCCTGCAGGGTAGGCATATAGTAACTTTAATCTTTATTGAAAGAGTTAATGAGCCTATTATAAAAATAGGTGTAATTTGATATGCCAGTATTTTTGCATGGCAGGATCAAAATTAATTTAAAAATAGTAGGGTTCTAGTCAGACAGAAGGGACATAAAGCACTCAAAATTGGATAAGCAGAAATTCATTTTAGTCCTCCAAACAGCTCAGAAAACAAAACAAAAACAAGTGAAACTATTTATAACAAGCTCCCACTCTTTACAGTACCTGTTATATGTGTTACATATACATTTACTTGAATGCTTGGTAATAATAAGTGAAGGTAAAACATTTAAAGGCAAATCGACCCACTTTCCTGGCACAGTAAATAAGGTCTGTGAAACTAGACATAGTAATTCAGTGTTATTCAAATAACACATTTTATCTTTTGTTTACCACCTGCTCCCATTCTTTCCTAAAACAAACTTGGCAACCATGCCTTGCTCATTTCATTTCATTTTCTAAGAAAGTAAAATCTCATTCATAATCTCCACATCCTACAAGTCGCTTGTAAATCTGATGTAGGTAGGCGCAAATTCATTTCCACCCACATAGTTTAAGGTTTTTTGTTTTGTTTTGTTTTTTTGCCCACCAAGCAGCAATAATAATAAATAATGTTTAAGGTTTTCCCTAACCCCTGCCTCTCCGGCTAGATGCGGAAGCAGTAGCCCTTGTCCCCACCACCAGACATTTCTGGACTGAAAAGTGTCTTAGTTCTGTAATCTCAAAGAAAAACTCATTTTCTTATGCACTTTTAAAATTAATGGTCTATAATGCATTCTCTTTATGAGTGCAAGAGAATAGAATACAAAAACAAATGCTTATTTGTTCTCTCTGCTGAAATTGTCTAATGTTAGAAGAAGAAACTTTGCTTTCCACAGAAAATATTGGCTTCCCCATTAGCCATCTGCTAGATGGTGGGAATGTTCTGTGTGGCTTTCTCAGCTGGAACATTTGGAAAATGAATACATTGTTGCAAGAACTCACATTGTTGGCCATAATGTTTGTGATAATGTTGTTGACTTACCAGATGTCCTGGAAATTCCTGGGGTGGAAGTATTTCCAGTCGTTCCAAACCCCTCCGTTTCGCTGCAGAATGGTGTTTGGGATATACGACTTTCGCTATTTCTCACGGCTTACCATGGAATTTTTCATTCGGTCATTCTGAGACTAAAACAAGATGGGAAAAGATACCACTGAACTATTCCTGTTCTTCCAAACTCTGCCCTGCTCCTCAGTGCGTCACAGATCTCTAATTTGCCATTTTTCAAAATAATTTCTTCTCCAACCCCAACTATATGCATCTCTCTGTATGTAAGATTAAATAGCATGACCTTTGTAGTACTTGTCTCCAGCTGGTAGGAAAGCAACAAAGTCTAACAGTTGAATGCTTTGCTCACTCATTATGCCTAAGGAGCTTGTTTGAAATGTGAATAACCTCTGTTTTCAGCCCTGGCCTTCCCTTTTGAAATGAGATTAATGAAGTGATGAATAAAGTGAAGAGTCCTTTACATTTTGGCATGAAAATAGATTAGACTTCTTCTTTTGCAAATGGAATTATCTCTTACAGATCTGCTTCTCTACCTGCTCGCCGTTCATTTAAAGCAACAGAATTCTCTGAGCAGAGCAGGGGCCATAGTCTGGATGGGAATCCATTTTAATATTCCACGGAATCTTGACTGTCGTGCCAATCACACATGGCTATGTGTCTTTGTCAAACTCTACTACATGATTCATTTTTATCCCTTACTTCTATCAAAAGGACATACTATAAAGGTTTACATCTCCGAAGATTTTTAAAGGCAATTTAATTTATATTCGAGTACCCTATCCTACCACATCATTCCAGTTCCGTTTGCTCTTTGGAGTTACATGGTTTCAAGGCAAAGGGGTGGGCTGTCTGGCCTCATGTCACTCATCTTTGCAAGCACCAACAGCTACCCATCGTCCATCTTGGTGCTCTGCTGTCAGCTACGCCACAGCGATGATCCTGTCCCAGTGGCCCCCTCAGCTCTGCTGATTTCTTTCTGTTGCCTGTGGACGGGGGAATATCTGATGAGCTGTCTGGGGCATGTGCTCTCAGACGGACCCCACAGCCTTCCCCTCACTGGGCTTTTCCCTGACAAAGTGGACATAAGTGTTTTGCCCTTAGGTCTCACACCCTCTACTTACGTGGTTCTGCCTCCACAGTGCTCCCTACAAACAAAGCCAGGCCACTCCCCATCTCCTGGGCACACTGAGGTCTCTGTTCTCCCTTCCCCTTCCTTCCTCATCATTCTACCTTGAGGAATCCATACTCTGGAGGGCATAGCCTCTATTAGAACAATCTTCTAAAAGGGCCCTTTTGGGGAACGTACATCCCTGCGTATGACTTTTCTCCCCTCCATCCTTCCCCTGAGGTGAGAACTACAAAGCCAGCTAACTGCTTGAATGCTGGAAGGGAAGAAGGAGCAAGGAAACATGAAAGACATTTAAAAGCATCTGGTAATATCTCAGTCATATCATGCCACCATCGAGCTAGAAACAGAAGAGAGAAATAAACAGACAAGAAGGCCAAAATGGAGGATGGAGTGTCAATAACTTTTTTGGTAATTTTCTGATATTCTGAGAATTCTGCTCCAACTGCCTTTGATAGAGGCTGGTATCCATACAACACACCTCCACACCTCCTCATTCTGCCCACTGCTCGATGTGCAAGCACCCTCGTATTTCCAACCTTGAATTTGATAATTGCCAAGAGTTATTCAATCTATGATTAAATGAATGAATAAATACAAATTGGTGACAGAAAAAACATTAACCACCATCTCATTGTCCTTTAACACTGTATGTTGTTCCAACGGAAAGTTGTTTTTTTTTTTTTTTTTTAATTAGCAAGTGCCATCTACTTTGAGAATATCCCCATAAGACAGAAAAATCATGGAAATGTAGGGCTGAAAAAACTTAAGGTTATCTAATACAGTGGTTTTCAAGCTTGACTGTACCTATTAATCACCTGGGGAGATTTTACAAATACATATGTAATCCATCCTACCCTAAACTAACGGATCAGGTAAGTCCCAATCACTGATATGTTTTAAAAGCTCCCTAGGTGATTCTAACACATTGGGGGTGGTGAACCTCCCCCATTTACACAGGTGAGTTGTCATTTATCCAAGACACATCGTCACAAGTGAAAAAGCAACGGGTGACAACTGCTTCTCCTGACCCTTTCTTGTACATTCTTCCCACCACACCCCCACTAAATCCCAACATTATAAACCATCTCGCAGTGTCCAAAGAGGTTCTATTCCAGTTTATTTCAATATTGAAGACAACACATTAGAACAGTATCAAATTTCATTCTCATGGTTGTCTCACTTCAAAAGCTCTAACATTTCCCCAAAGAATTACTCCACGGCCCCCCACCCCCACCCGGTCCCCATGTTTGATAAATGTTAAACAACACCTTTATGAGATGGCATTCCATTCTAGAGTGACATTTAAAAGCTCTGAAGTTTAATTGCTGTAGATAACCATCGATCATTGCTGGGATGCCCCTGCGACAGTGGACTTTGAGGTATGCCATCCATCTCCTGGCGGTCCTGTGGCTGGCCGCCTTCCCCTCTTCATCACTGCTTGATGGGGCTGATGGGGATCGCTGCCGCACTTCCAGAGAGCCTCCCATTCCCTCACCTGCTCTGCATGACTACTGAACTGAGCCGTGTTGTGACAGTCTGCCTGCTCTTCCCTGCTCAGATTAATGAATACAGCTTTAGCTGTTAATTCAAAGCTAGTCAAGCTTGTACCCAACAATTAGAGACCAATTTTCATCTTCAGCATGAGGGTATGTGGGGAAGGGTGTGGGAGAGGAGTGCAATTTGGCGTGATTCTTTACATCTGGGGTGTGCGTGAAGAAGGAAGAGTAGGGGATCCTGAAGACAGTACCCGAAACTCTCATTGGTCTGGCTACAACAAGCCAAGCCGTTTCAAGCCTCCACTTCTTTGCCAGCTACAGTGATGCAACCCCAGGGGTTTGAGCTTCCTGCCCTGCAGCTAGACTGCAATCCATCAAAAATAACAAGCACACAGAAGGCCCCTGTGCACTCCTGCCTTCGAGGAGGGTCAGCAGCTAAGGCGGTCTTTGAAAGGGCTTTAGAATCAGAGCCCCAAATCTCCCACTCCTCTTTTCTTCCCTCCACCATAAGAAACAAAATGTTTACTTGTACACAAAATTATGTAAGAGACCTCATCTGCCCCCTTTCAGGGTCATCCAGAGCACCAAAGACAGAATACTCAAATTCTCAACCCTGAAATGTCCTCCCCAGTAAAGCAACGCCTACAAATGCTCTGTCTTGCACAGAAAAGCTATATATGGACCCCAGGTGCCAAATACTGTCAAGATACTCTCCTCCTGGAATTTCTATTTACAGAAAGGAGAAAACAGGAACTGCCAGAGCATTCCTGCCCCTGGTTACTGATGGTAGAGGTGGTTCAGAGGCACACATGCCCATCCAAGGTAAGCTACACCTTTGCCCTGGGAACAGAAATCTCTCCCGAGTCATTTTGACTGATCTTACCTTTTAAGCAGGTGGCCTGGGGCGGGAGCACAATACATAGCAGTCGGCGGTAGTAGGTAATGTTGATAAAGTCTAGTTACTTGCCTTATCGAATTTCTTTTTGCTCTGCTGCAGTATTTAGCAGATGTCTTTGGCATCGGATTAGCTCGGCTATGCAAGGAAGGATCAAGAACGGAATTGCTGTCCCCTCCTAAGCAGCGCACCCATGGGGACCACGTGGAGATGGGAGAGGTCATACCATCTACGTACCTCCACCCACAGGTGAAAGGCAGGAAGAGAGTCAGAAGCAGCACAAGCTATAACCCTTTCTCCGGATCTCCATGAGGCTCAAATGTTTGAAGTCTCTGTTTGCTACTTTTAAGGGGTGTCAATTATTTTGTCTGAAAACTAGCAATTAAAAAGACTTCACTTAGGGGCGCCTGGGTGGCTCAGTTGGTTAAGCGACTGCCTTCGGCTCAGGTCATGATCCTGGAGTCCCTGGATCGAGTCCCGCATCGGGCTCCCTGCTTGGCAGGGAGTCTGCTTCTCCCTCTGGCCCTCCCCCCTCTCATGTGCTCTCTCTCATTCTCTCTGTCTCAAATAAATAAATAAAATCTTTAAAAAAAAAAAAGACTTCACTTACAGAACTGATGCTGGCAATAAATGAGATAAACGTAAATCAGGTAGCGTAGTGTCTAGCACATAGGTTGAACTTAATAAATGATACAGTGGAAAACATATCAATAATGGGTCGTGTCTCCCTGGGAGTTTACACTTAACTGGGGACACATGCAGTAATGGAGCAAATAAATAAATGGTTATACATTGAGTAAGGCCTCGCAATGACGGAAGAAACAGTGACTCTGATAGAGAATAAGCAGGAAGGAGGGTGGTCGGGGGAGCCACTGTGAGGAGGGGATATTTAAGCTGCAGCCAGACAAGGAGAAGCCAGAAGAGCCAGACGTGGGCAGTCCAAGCACAGGGAACAGAGACAAGCAGGCAAAGACAGGAGAGCAGCTGGAACGTGGACATCCAAGGGAGAGAACAGGGTGAAGGGGGGTGGGACAATTTTGATTGTGCTTCGAGTTCTCGTTCCTCCAAGTGTGGTCCTGGCATCACCTGGCGCTCGTCGGAAATGCAGAAATTCAGGCGCCACCCCAGACCACCCAACCAGAATCCGCATTTTAACAAAATCCCTGGACAATGCCTTTGCACGTTCTGAGATTAAGAACACTGCTGTAGGAAGCCGCTGAAAAGTTTAGGTGGCACAGTGGTGTGATGTGCTTTGCATTTTTAAAAGATTCACTCCAGATGCTATGGTGAAAATGGATTAGGAGAAATAGAGCATATTTTTACTGCTATTTATGATTACTTTCCAAGTTACCTGCCTAGTTTACCATGCCTTCTCCTTCCAAGGCGGGGTCCTGCTGTAATCTGGCCATTTTCCACCTGAAGTCAGCCCAGAGGCTACTGCCCTGCTCTCTGCTTATCCACTGCTAAGTGCCACTGTCCCCCTGTCTTGTATTTTCAAGTATCACCCGTTCCTGTGTTCCCCAGACCTCAGCTCTGCCCACCACATCAGGAAGCCCACCCTCTCACATCCTGATGAACCTCTC